TAGAAGTCCAGGTGCTCCTCGTCGGTGTAGTCCAGGGAGGAGCCCGACAGCAGCCCTGGCAGGAAGCTCGGCAGGGGCGAACGATACTCGGTGAGAATGGATCACTATGACGATATTATTGATGATGCCGATACGTCCAACAGCCGCTGAGGGTGTGTGTGTGTGTGGGGGGAGTTATGAACGCAAAGAGCAAAGGGACCACCCAGTGCCAAACTGCCGTAGGAGCGCAGTCGGGGGGTGGGGGGAAGGAGGATGGTGCGGGGAGAGGGGAAAGACGAACCACGAATGAGTGAAGCTGCTGCCAGGGCAAGAGTGTACCAGACGTAGAACTGACCGAAAGGCGTCCGTGAAGACCGCGACCTCGGGATGACGAAGTGAAGAAGATGTCGGAAAGACTACCTACCTAAGCCGCCAGGACTAAAAAAGCAGAAGAAATAGTATTGCCAAGCCGTAAAGAAGTGGGACCCAACATTACCGGCCCCTACCTCGCAACGGGGGTTCAAGAGGGCATCAAGAGGTGCAAAATGTTGAGAAACTAGTTGGGGAGGAAGGAGGGCGGGAGATGAGAAGGCAGGCTGGCCGGGGTAAGATCAAGAGGCAACGTCGGAGCGGGTGAGGTGCTCCCAGCCTGGGAGCTGTACGGCCTGTAGGGCTTGCACGGTGCACGGTGATATTGGTTCTGTTGATGGTTGTGTAACGGGGCGTGGAGTGAGTGAAGGGATGGGAAACACGGGATGAGGAGAACGGGGGGGGGGGCGGGAGGGCGCCCCAGGGAACCTCCCCTCGTCTTGCAATCTGGGGGGGCGAATCTGGCGATGCGACACAAGACGCAGTTAGACTGGAAAGGTGCATAACCGCCTACATACATAACCCCCCTGGGGGACCCCCTGGCCAGGTCGAATCCCGTCTCCCTCCCCACCACACACATACACACACGCCCCCGCGCACCCGCCTCGTCGTACTCGTACTCGTACTCGTACTCGTCCGTTCCGTACGCATCATCCTGGTCCCCGCTGGTTCCTCCAGACCCGCTGACCTCCTCCTCCCCAGTGTCCGCGTATTCGCTGCCGCTGGCACCCCCCTCCTCTTCCCCCCCTTCCTCCTCCCCCTCCTCAACATCCACGTCGACGCCAGTACCAACCGTTGCCGTACCAACCGTCGTAGAATCCTGAAAAGCCTCAGCAGCACTCCCGACAGGTGGCTCAGATCGTCCTAGAATCGCAGCGGCTGCGGCAGCGGCGGCCGGGGCGGCAGTAGCTGTGGCGGCGTCTGCCGCGGGGATCACGGCGGTCGAGGGGGACGAGCTAGGGCCTGCAGCAGCAGCGGCAGCAGCAGCGGCTGTACGGCACGCGGTTTCGGATTCTGTTGCAGTGGCCGCAGCGGACTTCTTGGCATTCCTCATTATGGGGCGCTTGCGGATGGCTTGGGGAGGAGCTGTTAGTGACTCTTGGCTTGCAGCCCCGGCGGCGGCAGTGTTGGCGGCGGCGGCGGGTGGTCCTAAGGCTGCACTCGGGTCGCCGCCTCTTGCGGAGATGCCGCCGGCTGACGGTGCTGCGGCTGCGCTACCGCCGGCGGCGTCGGTGGCGGCGGTGTGGGGTGCGGGGGCCACAGCACTGCCCCCTCTTTGCGGCTCCCCATGGGGGAAATTGAGTTTGGCGGCACTGGGGACGTTTGGGAGTGGGGTTGCGGGAGGGGAAGAGGGGTGGGGAGGATGGATTCATGCACCCTCTCGTGCACCTGTCTTGCTCGTGTATCCCTGACCGGGCCGGGGGATGATTTGGATCCAAGGGGGGGTGGCGATGTGGGCTACGTATGCGGTGCCTTCCGGCTATGTGAGATTTTCCTAGCGGACGAGGGAATGGAAGTGGAGAAAGGGGAGGGCCCAGGTCGTGGGGGGGGGGTAGAGGGGTTTGGGTTGCGTGGCGGCTACAAGGATTGAGGGAGCTGCGGATTGAGAGGACCGCAGAAACAGAACACCACTCGGGGGGTTCTTCACCCCGATTCGGGCCCGAGCATTTTTGAGATTTTTCCGTTTCGCCCGAAAGGAAAATTAGTGCGCCCCGGAGCATCCCGAACGGATTTTGGCCCATTTGAAGCATTTCTTCGGGGACCCCACTGAAGCCTCCCGAAGGCATTTTCGGAGAAAACCGAACGATATTTAAGCGTAACTTTGGATGTTTAAGGGGTCTGGTAACCGGGCTTGCCGTATAAGGCCCGCTTGGTCATCAGTCAAACAACAGGTACAAATGTGCATTGCGGCTGTTTCGCACACGTTTCTATACAACTAAGCATATCCATAATTAACCATGCCCGAGTCAGCTGATGATGTGTGTTGAGCTTGGCTTTAGTGTCCACCGCATTACCAAGAACAGGCGGAACAGGCTGCGGAACCGGCTGTCTGTCCCGTCCATTGATTCCTTCATGTGTGTTGGATTACTCGGTCCAATCCAAACGTGGATATGAAATGCAAACCCCTCCTGATAAAAGCTGGCGCCACGTTCCAAGATAAAGTCAAACACTTGTTAAATCAGCCGTCCTAGCATATTACGATGGAATCCAGCTAAAGTTTACCCCGAAAACCGCTTCAGACAGTTTCGAGGTGCCAGAAAACACTCTCCGGCTGACAGGACAACTTCCGGGGAGGGCCCCGATAGGTTATTCAGAGGGTCTCGGACACGACCGAAATATTTGGGTACCCTGGTGAAGAACCCACTTACGTGCCGAAGGCCTTCCGGGCGGCGGCATCGTAGGCCAGAGCCGCGGCCTCCTCACTGCTGAAGTAGCCCAAGCATTTCTGCTTACCGTCGCCTGTCCAGATGTTTGCATGCCACTTCGCACTTCCCTTGTGCCAGCTCACGCCACGGAACTGCGACCTGCCTCTCGCGAAGCGCTCCCCTTGCGCACGGAATGACGCCATGAGGTCCTCCATAGACATGGCGTCCAGCTCCGCACGCCGTTCAGCTGGGAGGTCGTAGTTTAGCACGGCTGCCGTACCAAAGAGTTTGTAAGCCATGC